ATACGACATTGTATTTGAAATTGTTTAATAGTTTGTAATATGTTAAAATTCATGGGAATGAGCTAAAGAATGAATAGACAAAGTAATGAAGCCAATTCTGAAAAATTTTGGCTTGAAATTGTCGATTTTGCACACGTAAGTATATATATCAAACAAGCAATATAGACATTAAGTCCATATTACCGTTCATTATTCCCATAAGGATTTATTTTTAAAATTTCATTAAGGACTAAAATTATATAATAAATTAATCTTATTTAAGCAATCTAAAAATTGAAAGTCTAATCAAGACAAAATTTAAAAGAAATACTAAAATAACCATCAAAAATTAAATATATTGAGAAAAGTAGTAGATTAAAGACCTAGGATCGTGGGTTTATTTAACACTTCATCTGATACCAACTTTTCTTGTTATTTATCTTTCTTGGGTTGTTTTATTAACCTAAAATCCAAAGCTATGGACAAGTCTCTGTCGAGATGCTTACACAAATACCTAACTTAATTAATTTACTATATGTCTATAGGAATCAATTAAACTAATTCATTAAGCAAGTGTCCTAATTGGCTATGCATGGCAATTAGCGTATGTCTACCTGAATCGCAAATCAAATCACCTAAGCGAGGTGAACATACACTATTCAAATCTTAGTCTAACTTAAAATCTCTCTGTCAAGTTTCAATTAGATGCACAAATCAATTAATTGTTAATTAGGCAATTAAAGGCATTAAAAGCATATTTGAATAAGTAAAACGATACCCATTCATGACTAATAATAGAAAAATAAGTATTTAGACTACATGTTGAAATCCACCACAATCTTAAAAAACCAAATTAGTTCACGATATCTAAATAAAACATTATCCAAAGAAATTTAGCCATGAATTCAAAACAACAAAATAAGAATAACACAAAAGAGAGACATAAACTAATGTTGAATCTTGATAAATCTCGAATCTATCTTAATTGATCTTAACTTCTTATTTGATTCTTAGCTCTAATTCTTCAAAAAAATTGCGGTTGTCCTCCTCTCTGGATGCTCCCAAAAAGTCCCTTAAATATATGCAAGATGCCCCACTTTTCAATTTTTTTAAATTTTCTTTTTT